TATTCTTAAACAATAGATTCGTTATGAAATCTAATACTTAATTTATGACTAATATTAAATTAATATCGTATTCTTGACATTCGTAATATTATATGTATCTATAGAACATAAACCTTAGAAATTCTAATTCTACGAGTAATTCTTTTTTCGACTTGAAAATATAGTTTCAATTATATCTCGCGATAAGAAGAATTAAAAATTATTTTGAAACCAAATATTTCAAGAAAATTCTATAAATATATTAATTCGTACAAATAAAAGTATTCTATAATAAAAGAAATTCAAATATTAAATATTCATCTATAAAAATATTGCTCGAAAATGAATAAAATTTAGCAATATAAATATTATCTTATAAAATCGTAGAGAAAATACTCATAGTAGAGATAATATTAATAATATTCTTTTTATAAATAGATATCAATCATAGTAGAAGAAATCTTAGTCTTACGACTTTTCGGTAGTAATATTGATAGCAATAGTAAGAATATCAAAATAAGAATAATAATCTAAAAATTCGGTCCGCGATGTGTGGGTATATCATGAATATGGTTGAAATTCCCCAGTCTTCCGCCAAGCCTTCCTGTATGAGGTTAGGGCAAGGGGTTATGGTAAAAATATAGGCATCCGTAAAATCATGCCCATACAAAGAACGTTGGAGGAAACGTGATCGACCCAGTTGGGTTTTTGCCAAACCCTGTTCCCGAAAGTCTTCAAAACTTATTTGTTTTTACTATGGCACCTCAACTTCTCCCCAAGTCCTGTCAGAAACAAAACCACAGCCCCCCAATATGCTGCAAACTCTAGACTCCTGGACCAGTAACAGCTGCTAGTCCTGGTCTCATCTTCATCCTACTTCAGCATGAATTTAGAGGGTCCATGGAGTAGGGTACGGGGAGCTGGGGAGCCGAGGACTTAGAGCTTAAGGTCGCTTTAGTAACATACAGATCCAAGTTATCCCGCCATGTACCTAACGGTTTAGGGTTTAGGGTTTCGGGTTTAGGGTCTAAGCCAAGGAACACGAGAGGCTGCAATACGATTCTATGCGTGACTACAGGGCCATGAAGTTGTGGATGCGTCAGTCTCTGGTTAACGGGCTCAGGATGTCAGTGATGGAGAACATGCTAGGAGCTCTGGCCAGCTTCGGTTGAGGGCTTTGGAAGAAATGGCGCTGCAGGATGTATGTTAGGACTTTGAAGTCGTGACCTCTAATGAACAGAACTTCAGAACTTCTTCAGCAAAAACTAAAGATCATGATGAAGCAAAAACCAGCAAGACCTATAAAGCGTTGACGCTCTGCAGCCGGACCTTTTGACCCCTGTCCGCTCAGGTTCATTCGTACGAACGTGTTGCCGCTTCAGGGACAGGTCTCTTCTAGCTTACAAAGCTGCACAACCTGAACCCTAATCACGAACATGCTTATCCCACTTAGCCACCATAATTAAAACAACCATGGTAGCTGCTCCGGTTCCTTCAATCCCTGTGTCTGCCCTGAAGTTTCCTTCACAGGCCGAAACCTTCTTGAGCCCCTGGAGCCTGAAATCCCGACAACCGCCTCTTGATCAGCGTCGTCCGTGCCTTTGAACTCACCTGGCAGAAGAGCACTTGAAGGCAGGGGCGTTCGGGCTAAACCCTAAACCTCTTAGCCGGAGCTGTTTTGACATATAACCAGGGAGCTAACACCTGGAGGGTTGGTTGTAGGCAACGGAATTGCGGTTAACTTCTCACATTGGAGTCCCTATATAGTCATAGTTTGTATAACTTTGTTCTAGTTGGAATATAATCTCGCATACTATGGTATATTTCTATGTACGGGAGGCAAAGAAGCGAGACAAACCGGAGCAGCGTTTCCATTTCTGCACTCTTTTGCTGCCACTGCTGTCTCTCGCTGATGCTGCCTCTATTTCCTACCATAAAGGGGTGTCAATCATTATCGTAGGGTTTGGGGGTGTATTGTAGTTGGTACTGTATGATTTTATTATAAAATAGAGAATCTGATGAGCCGTCTGGATAAAAAAGCAGTCCCGTAGATTACCAGCCGCAGGCTACTCCGTCCGGATTCTCGTTGCAGAGCAGCGTCTTACCACATACTCCCGTGGATTGCCGCGGGGCTGAGTGCACTGCTTGCAACAGAACACGGACAAATTACCCGGTCTCAGTCTCATTTCCGGCCAGCTCGGCAGTCTGGGGTGTTTCATGAAAACGGAATCTAGAGTCTAGCAAGACTGTCTTGTACGATTTCTTCATTATCATGTCAAGGAGAGAGAGGGAAGGCATCTAACCTTCACCCAGAGCCAACATGCCTACAAGGCCTACATCTTCGTGCGTATACCGTCGCACTCAATCGGCAAGGCCTGTGAATGGGTTCAATGAACCTCCCGAAGAAATACCTAACAGCGAGACATACATTCACCTTCAGTGAAGATTTGAGTGGGAAGGAATGTCAGAGAAAGTACTCTACTTCAGCTCCTCAGCTCCTTGCATCGAGAACAGAATCTGGCGTTCGTGTTATTGGTGGCATTTAGGCTGCTGTTCCAACCTGCACTTATACAAACTTGATCAGGCAAGAGAGGGGGAGAGAGAGAGAGAGGCAGAGGAGGCAGAGGCAGAGAGTTTGCAGAGTTCAGCTACTCGCTTCGGACTCGTGCCCTGGCCTCGTCTAGAAAAACCTCGGAAAACAAGCCCGAATCTAACCTGAAAGCGCTTAAACCCCTCCTGAAACTTACATGTTCGATCCTCGAAAGTGCAAAGGGCTCCTGCTCAGCGCACCAGCTTGAGGTGTTTGAGATCTAGAGAGAGCTTGAGGATAGCTGCATTGAAGTCCAACGGCAGTGGCTCGCCCTGGCAAGGTGCAGGATTATGTTGCCCAGTGGTGAAGGAAGGGCCTTCCTCAAGGATAGCACAAGACATGCTAATGCGTCAGCTTACTCCATGCCATGCGCACTTCTGCTTGCACTCGGAGTTGGTGTAGATCGAACCTTCACGGCCCTGGGGTCTTCTCGAAACCATCGAATCTGGGCTCGGTGCTTTGGGTGGGCTTCGGAAGCCACCGAAACGCTCGCAAAATGATGATGAAGGGAGCTTCGAGGTCACACCGCCGCCGAGTTCAGTCTTGCCGCTCCGGCGGCAAAAAGTGCGGAGGCCACCCATCCTCCGCCCAGTCCTTCTGCCCATTTGTCTATCGACTCAAGCGAAGTGTGTTTATATTGGGGTATGCATACTTACATACCAGCCTGCCTGACGGACTGACTGACTGACTGTGATAGTCCCACACGGCTCGTATTCTATCTATCTATCTTTCGATCGATCTATCTATCTATCGATCTATCTATGTATGTATGTATCTATCTATCTATCTGGTTAGATAGTTAGTTATTGAGATACTTAGCTAGTTAGTTGGTTAGTTAGTTAGTTAGTTAGTTAGTTAGCTAGCTAGCTAGCTAGCTAGCTAGCTAGCTAGCTAGCTTTCTATGCCGGCATAAATGCATGCATGCATGCATGCATACATGTATGTAGGTATGCACGCATCTATGCATAGGTCTGCAGGTATGTGGGTATGTAGCTATCTAGGTATGTAAGTATGTCGTTTTGTAGGTATGTAGGTATGTATGTACGGATATATGTATGTGTATACACACACTCACACTGCTTGCGGCTTATGTGCATACATTGACGTTCGTCATACATGAGACTATGTGTGTGTATATCTCTATATATATAATATACAAACAGTGTACATACATTCGAACCTCGATTTGGTCAAGGAGTTGCCGTGCTTTGTCATGTCCCAAGAACCTTGTGTCTGCTAGAGTTCTCAATCCGCTCGGGCCTGCGAGTGGGTCAGGACCCAGCCGGGGAGGACGCCTGCCTTCTCTGCCAAGGAATCGGGCGCGACGAGCTTGACACCTTGGTCAAGGCATGCTGTGCCCGAACACCAGCTACAACAGGACTCAGGCTGCACCTGGAAAGGTTCCCGGCCGCTGCGCAAGTGCACAGACTTCGATTCAAACGCAGCAGCATGAACCCCGCAGATGCTTTCCGCCGCGGGGCGCATAGGAGTGGTCTTGAAAAAGTCAATACCCACCGGCTTCGCATCGAAGCTGATGTTCTGATCGGGCAGGCACAGCTTCTCAGGCCAAGCCATGGAGGTTGACCAGATTCAGGACTTAAGAAATAGAAAGATGGCTATCCAACTGTGCCGGGATGGTGCAAACCACCAGCTTAACTCCAAGCAGGGATGTGGTGGGGCAGCACAACCATGCCATGGATTCTGTAGGGCTTTCGGGCTTTCGGCTGCTCCCTGTAACCAAACAGCAATATAAGCCGCGCTCAAAGGAGTCCAAGGCACCTTGAAGCTGCCATCCGACAGCCTGGATTTAGGGTTTAGGGTTTAGGGTTTTGTCTGGGACCACATGCTTAGACAAAGTTGCGAGCCAGAGGTGCGAACACATAAAAAAAAAACACAAGGTGGGATAGGACCATCGTGTGAAGCTTTGTAATACAGTATACTGTCGAATGATGCATTGTGGTATCTACGTCAAGATGCATTGCTACATAGTTCGCCCCCATATGTTTGGGGGGAATGGATAAGAATCTCAAACGTTCGACCCTCTGAAAAGCTGTAGCGACACTCCCGAGTGAAGTTGGGTGAATGGAACATGTCTGGCGGGGCCAGCAACCAAAAAAAAAAATTGGCTCACATGCGGACACGACAGGTGCACAGGGCAAGAACAAGAGGCTGACTTGTACACTGTGCCTTAATGAGTCGAAAGAAATTGCGGGGCATACTTTTCCCAATGCCCCTCCCTTTTAACTGCTCTTAGGGGCTCTTGGGTCGAGAACTTAGGCTGCGCAGCATGCCTCGCCTCCTTTAACAAGACTTGGCATCAGAAAGAGTCCAAGGCTGTAGCAGCAGACTCGAAACCCAAGGAGGGGGTTTAGGGTTTAGGGTTTAGGGAGAAGCATCTAACTGAATCTAAGCGACTTCGATCGTAGCTCTCTTTTTCGCCTGCAACCTAAGATCAAATGACCCTTCTAGTTCCGCTAAGGCTCTGGAAGGTGAAGGTCACAGCGTTGGAGCTCAACTCTGGCATCTCTGGCCTGAGCGAGGGAAGGTGTCTACGGCCTCGGGTTTTGCAGGTTGTGGGGTTTTGGGGTTTGGAGGGCTTGGGGGGCTTTGAGGGTTCTTTCGGCTGCCAAACCCTGGTACCAGGAAACTGAAGTCGCAAGCCTCACCCAACCCTCAAGCCCAACCTCAAGCCTGCGACGGCTTAAACTCAAGACATCCGAGCAGCTCTGCCGTACCTGCAGGCGTCTCTTGCGATGCGTTGGGAGCTGCCGGTTCGGGAGCCTCGACAGGTGTGGCTTGGGTTTAGGTTTGGAGTGTCTGGCTTCACCTTGCGATTTTGGGGCTTTTATTTAGCTTTCTACGATCGTTGGCATATCTGTTTTCGCAGCTTGTACTACAACTTGCCCCACAACGCCGATTGTCCTTGGAAGCTGCTGCGTGACGAGGCGTGGAACAATTCTGCGTCAGCACGGACTGTGGCAACGGCTAGGCTATGACTGCGACCATTGCCGTGAAGATTCGTGAAGATTCTGACCAGACCTTGAAAAGCAGTTTTTTGCCAAGCTCCACTCGCAACGGCCCGGCCTGCTCCAGTGTTTTCTCCTGCGACTGCCTCGGCTGTGAAATTTCGGACCACCACCACTGCCACGAAAAGGGGCTACGACCACGAAAATGACGACTACTGCGACTACTGACTGCTAACATTGCTGCGACTGCTACGAGCCACCCCCCCCTACCTGTCAAAACAGGCTCTGGACTCTCGAGTCTGCAAAGTTGGCAAGGGGATCTTGAGGCAACACGAAGTCGTAGGGCATTGCGAAAGTACCATAAATACAGGTCACATGCATGTCGCCCGATAGTTTCGACATTGCCGCCCGAACCCCCTACCCTGCCGCAACCCTTCCGAAATCCGAGCTCGAGTTTCCAAGGTCGACAAGTGTATGTTGAGGCAAGAAGAAGCAATAGGACATTAAGAAAGTGCTAGAAGTACCTAGTAAATCGATGTGTTCTTTTGGGGATTTAGAGTCTATTTAGAGCAGGTATAGTTGGTTGGTTGGGGAGGAGCCTGTTACGACTTGCGCTGCTGCTGCTGCTGCTGCTTCTGCTGCCGCGGCTGCTGCTGCTGCTGCTGCTGCTGCTGCTGCTGCTGTTGCTGTTGCTGTTGCTCTTGCTGTTTGCTGTTGCTGTTGCTGCTGCTGCTGCTGCTGCTGCTGCTGCTGCTGCCGCTCTACTAC